TAAATTCTCGCTGATTCCCCATGTGATCTTTTATCAAGCCAGTACAATTAGGGGAGGAAGAACTGATTTCTGACAACTTTCTCTTATCAAGTCTTTAACAGTCGAGATGATACAGTGCACACAGGGGAAAAAATAAAAAACCGTAATGCTCGGGTGAATGTCCTGAGTCAAAAGAAGCACGATAGGTCTTCTCCGTGCAAGAGAGAAGTAAAGAGGCTCCAATCTCATAATAAAATCACATGTGCCATCTGGGTGATGCGACTGTGGTTGGGCCACAGAGGGTTTGCAGCTTCATACACCCGCTGTCACGCCAACATGCAGAAATTATAGAACCCTAGAACGGTTTGGGTTGGAAGGGACCTTAAAGACCATCTCATTCCAACCCCCTGCCATGGGCAGGGACACCTCCCACCAGATCAGGTTGCTCCAAGTCCCATCCGACCTGGCCTTGGACACTGCCAGGGAGGGGGCTGCCACAACTTCTCTGGGCAACTTGTTCCAGTGCCTCACCACCCTTGAAATAAAGAACTTCTTCCTAATATCTAATCAAAATCTACCCTCTTTCAGTTTGAAACCGTTACCCTTGTCCTATCACTACACTCCCCTATCAAGAGTCCCTCCCCAGCTTTCCTGTCGCCCCTTCAGGCACTGGCAGGCAGTGATAAGGTCTCCCCAGAGCCTTCTCTTCTCCAGGCTGAATAACCCCAACTCTCTCAGCCTGTCCTCACAGGGGATAGAGCCGAGGAACGTGCTGGTGCACCCCAAGTACAGTAAAAATAGCTTTGGCAAGTGTCTGTGGCCTCATCGGGGGGCACTGAGAGGGAAAAATATACGCATGCAACTGTTTTATACATGTAATGCACCTGTATAAATAGCTTTTTGGGAGTAGAGGAGGATCTTGCCACACTGGTCAGTGTCATCTCCTTAATATACTCATCCTTCACCAAATGGACATTTAATTCCCTTGCCATGAAAACCTGGAGGACACTACAAAGTTCTGATCAGAAGCGCCAACTTGTTCCATCGATCGCCAGAACCTTACTCTCCGTTTCCAGTGCAGCCCATTTGCACAGAGGGGATAAAACAATTCCCCGGCACTGCCCCTTGCAAGAAAGCAGCTCGGAAACCCCTCGGAAAGCAGCCTTTCAACCAGATCCTTGGCCGTAAGTCACTTCTATTAGCAGCACCCGGCAATAGATGTTTGTAACAAAACATTAAAGACTTGGTGAGAAAGGAGGAAACAAATTACTCTGCGGAGAACCTAGCAACTCCACTAAAAGACCATCAGTTATTTATCTGCTGCCGGCAGAGGATGTTGACTGTAATTCTCGGCCGGCTCGGATTCAGGGGCGATGGAGAGAAGGGGCAGGGAACGCGTTGAAGGGCCCGTTCTCATGCAAAGACGTCTTTAACGCTGATTTAAAGGGAGCACGTGCCCGCTGGAGAACGTCGCTTTGGATCTTGATGCATTGCCGAGCGGGCAGGGTCTGCAATGGATCGGCTCAGCGGGACAGCTGTCGGGGCTAACGGTGTATTTTTGGGTGCTGGCGGTCGATTCGAGAGGTTTTCGGTAACAACAGCCCGACTTCACAAAGATATATTTAATTATTTCTTTTTAACAGGATTTTTTTGTTAGGTGAAGGCGAATGGAGACATATTTTAAAAAAAAAATAGAAAATTTTTTCCTTTTCCTCTTTCCCCCCCCCCCCCTCCTCGGAATGAAAACCACATGTAAATCATCAGGGTAGACAACGGTCGTTAAGCATTATTGGACGGGACAATATCTGTGAGCGCTTCGTGCTGGAAGACAAGCAGGACGCCACTGCCAATGTTTTACACACAAAAAACCCCCTCGCAACATTACGACACTTGGCTAAAATTAGTCCTCTCAATGAAGAGCCTCGTGCTAGGCCTAAGAAGGGGATGCTTTTAACTGCCTGAATAAGGCACGCGACACGTTTGTCTCTAATAAAGCTGATTTTTTTGGCGACAGGGCTGCTTCCCTTCACCTAGGCCACCCTGCCCAGGGATGCTCATCCCTTCGGCGAATGCTAAAATGAAGTCTTAATTTTCTAATTCATATTCCTCCATTAAAAGCAAACTGCGGTTTGTTGTTGGGTTTTTGTTGGTTGGGTTTTTTTTTATATTTAAAAGGCTTAAATTTACATAAATCAGTGGCTAAAGCATGCTAACACTAAAGGGTAGGAGTTCAGCCCGGCAGATTTGCATGCAGCATCCTCAGACGAAGGCAGGCGCTTTCCATTTCCATCGAGAGCCTTGCTGCGCTGGAACTCTAATGGGCTTAGAACACTAAATTTTGAAGAAACTGATTGCTGCCCCCGTAGCTAGTAAATGCCTGCCTGGACCCAGTGGCATTTGAAAAAAGTGTTTTATCATAAAATTATCCCAGCAGAGTCCATTCTGCAAGATAACATCATCATCATCATCATCATCAGTACTCCATGCAGGACCCAACAGCTCTGGCACAATATTGCCAGTC